ATATGTTCCCTAGATTATATTTGTTGTCAACAGATAAGGAGAAGAAATGCTACCAAATGGGGAAGGAGCTTAATGGAACATGGGAATGGAACCTAAAGTGGAAAAGAAGACTGATGGAATGGGAAGAAGAGTCGGCTTTTGAGTTATCAAAAATGATTGAGGAGATGAAAATACTACCAGGAATCACAGACAAATGGGAGTGGGTGCACAAAAGGGACGGCAAGTACTCATCTTCATCAGCATATTCACTGCTGTCAAATACCCAGCAGAATCCAAATGAAAAATTTTTCAAAAGAATATGGAATAACAATATTCCAAGCAAAATTGCAACATTTAATTGGAGAGTTGTGCTTGACAAAATACCAACCAAAAAGAACTTGTTGAAAAAAGGAATTGACAGTGTTATGGATGATGGGAAATGCAGACTTTGTGAGGAGGAAGAAGAAGACTCTGCCCACCTGTTTTTGAGATGTAAAGTAGCGAAGTGGATCTGGAAGGAGTGTGCTAAATGGTGGGGGATTTCTTTAAGGTTGGAGTCGGATTGCTGGAAATCTTTCGACCACCTTCATGCATGGACCAATGATAACCGGCTCAAAAATGGATGGGATTGCATTTGGAGTGCAGTGATCTGGTCAATATGGCTTTTGCAGAATAGAAAGGTATTTCAAGGCTAGGAAACAAACATGGGTAAGCTGTTGGAATTAATTCAATTAAGATTTTTTTTTTGGATTAAATCAAGAATAGCTGGTTGTCACTTTTATCTTTCAGATTGGTTCTGTAATCCTATAGCTTGTCTTACGGATGCTTAAGAGTAAGCTTGGGAGTAGAATAGTTTGAAAGATAGGAGTAACAGTGTAGGCTATCTCTTCTCTGCTCTTGTGTAAAGAATTAGGTGGAGTACTACTTGTACATCCACAATATTTTCAATAAATTACCTTTGCTGTGCAAAAAAAAAAAATCAATATATCTTTCCACCCAATGACATCCAAAATTTACTTTTTGTGTATCCGAAAGCAATTAATGGTCTCGATTTTGCAAGTTAGGCACGAAAGGTATTGTCATTCATGCGTGGTTCATTTGGTGGGGAGGAGGGCAGAGATTTATTATGTTCGGCAAAGTTCTTCTAATGGTAACACAGACACATGCATTTTGCTGTTAAAATGGGTTTTCCTAACTTTCTGTGGTCCAACACGTCCTCAGGAACCAAATCCAAGTCCTTTCTGCTTACTATTTGCAAACCAAATTCTTGCAAACTCGCGAGTCTTAATTATTCATATTTCTGTTTTGTTCTTTTTCGTCCAACAAGAGGGAAAGTCCAATTTCAGCTCTAGAAACATGGCATTAAATAGACAAGAGGAAAAAGATCGAGTTCAACTTCCGTGTGGAGATGGAGCTACGATAAAGAGAGTGTATTAATACAAACGACATGTCCTATATAAATTTATATGAGTAATTCATTTCCCTCACGTAACCAACACTACAAGAAAAATGGTTTTTAGTGACAGAAATTTGTAATGAATTTTAAAATCATCACTATACCTAATCACAATTGTGACAGATCTAAAAAATTAGTCATAAATGCATACATATTTAATAAAAAACAAAAAAATTCATCATAAAAAATATATTTTATTATCGAAAAATGTTAATAGAGATAAAATAAGTTTTTATTGATAAAAATCATCACTATAATGCATTACAATTATGACAAAATTCTAATATTGGTCACATATACTTTACACAATCAATGATGACCAAATAATTTATTACTAAAATATATATTTCGTCACTAAAAACTGTCAATTTTTTCTAATCAATACATTCCACATCGATAAAAAACACATAAGAGAATAAGGTTTTGCACTATAAATATATCCCACATCGATAAGAAATATTTAAGAAAATAAATTTTTGCACTATAAAACATGTGAAACTCAATAAATCTTGAGATTAGTTTGGGCCTGATTAATTTTAATTGAGCTTGATTAATTTTAATCGAGCTTGATTAATTTTAATTGAGCTTGATTAATTTTAATCAAAATTGATTAATATTAAAATAATAATATTTTTTAATCAAACTTTTGCGATAAATTTATATATTATTTTTTTGTGACACAATTTTTGTTAAAATATTTGTGTTGTAATTATATAAATATTTTTTTATTTAATATCAATTTTAATAATTAATGACTAAATTTTTTATCACAATTGCATTTGTGACGAATATTTTTTTTTTTGTGACGAATAAAATTATTATAAATAACTTGTTAACAATGTTAATTTTTTCTATCACTATAAGATTATTTTCAATGACAGGTGCTTAATTTATCACTAAGAGCATTAGTGACAAGGGTTTTATTAACGATTTAAATTTTGTCACTAATAATAATTTGTGATGAAAAATAAAGATTTAATGATCAATAATTTAGTCACTAAAGGTGGATTTTCTTGTAGTGCAAACACTACCATTCGGTTAGTATTTTCTAGGAATGAATGATTGCATGAATTCTAAAGAACTCCGACTCAGAGATATGTACTTGACGAAAATATAATTTTATTTGACAATAATTTCCTTTCAAATAAAAATACGAGATCTTAAATTTACATAATAAAAAAGAGATATATCTCTCAGTTACCCTTTAATATAGTTCATCGGCCTTGAATATTTTCAACAATAATAACTAAATAAATGCAGTATAGTTTAGGATTTT